CGGGAAACCCCAAACACACTGGGAGTTCAGTCAACTATAAAAGGAATGGTCCAACTTTGGTGTCAAAGCTTAATTTCCACAACTTCACGGCCCGGGTCGCCTTCAGTTCTGCCTTCAGTTCGGAACAAAACAAGGCTTGTTGTGAGTTGCACAGAATCATACGTCCGTTGAATGATATTGTGATATCTAATTATGGTTGATGGATTTTGCGCACTTACAACAAACCCCAAACCAACCAAATCTGCAACACATCTGATGGCAATGCTTTTGACGTACCTGACTATAGCCGGCCAGTACCAGAAGACCCGACCCAAAGTCCAATTGTGCCATGTCAGACAACAGAAAGCAAACTGCATGCACACGGCAAGACAGCCAAATACATTGAAGAACAGGTCACGAAGAGGATTGACAGAGTTGATTGCAACAGGACTTTCAACAAGGTCATCTCAGTATTGATGCAAGATGATGACAGTCATGACTAGTTTGATCAACTTCGATATGGATAAGTATGTTGATGACGTCATTATATATATATTATCACAAACCAATAAACCAGAGGAAAGAATCTCAAGGAATGCTCAAGATATGGATGTTTATCACAGGTATATTCCAACCGAACTTGACACAGACTATGCCACCCTTGAAGAAGCAATGTTTTTGAAATATATTGACTTTTTATGGCAATGAGCCCAGAATGAAGATTACAAGAGTAAAGTTCTGGAACGAATTAGTAAACCTGCTAAAGAGTTCAAGACATTTGGAGCATGCGTTCAGGATAGGAATAAGTTGTTCAAAGAATAAGGGCACTGTAGTTGATCAAACTGCATTGACTATTGTCTTTTTTTAATTACATTGTCTATTTTATGTTTTAAGTAACACTGTCTATTGATGTACAGTATGTGTTTAAAAGAATTCGCAGTCGCTGATAAAGTTAACATTCTGCATTATGAACAACCGCCCTCTTGTGTATGATGTTGATTACAAAGGGGGCATACAAGAACTGAAATGAACTGAAAACACCAACATTTCAGATAAACAGCATGAAGATACACAGGCAAACAAGATGATTGTTATATAATGTTAATATAGGGATATTGAAAAGGGAACTAAGAAGAGCCGGAAGAGCAAAGAGCTTGAAAGCTTGAGTGAGGCAGTGTGTTATCAAAATCTGACGGGAAGCGGGATAGAGTGGGTTTTATGATACTGAGGAAGTACTGGAAATGGCTGATGAATACATAGAGGAATTCGAAGAAGAAAAGGTGTGCAATAAAATAATCAGGTGGAATGCTTATGAGGGTGATGCAGGACAATGTGATGTTGAAAGAGTTTACGATAACGGACATTTAAGATTTAGGATTGCACATATCAAATACGATATTCTAACAGTATTTGACAAAAAGAACTTGACCAATGGTTTTAGATATATACAAAAGGAATTAGTCTTACCATGGCATAGCTTGAAGATGTATATATATATATCATATGATATAGTATTATAATCTATAATTAAAGACTATCAAACATTGAAAAGCAATGGTGTCAAAAGTCATAGTGTTCTAAATGACGCCTTCATCATTGACAAATCCTGCATTCTTCCAGGAAGAAATGTTTGGTGATCCTTGGACACTGCACTTCTCATTGACTTTTAACTCGTGGATTACAGTAACCCATGATAAATCTTATAAACACCAATTTTATGCAACTCGCAACAAGCCCCTCCCTTAAAGAATGGCAACGACCTGATTGTGTAGTGTACACCTCCTTAGTAAAAGAGCTGGTTCTTTGGGATTCAACCCATTCAAGCCAATGATTGGCCGGGAGTCCCAGGTAGTATCGAACCGACCCTGGAGGCTTCAGATCTCTTGGCACATGGGCCTCACGTTCTCGGCAAAAAACGATCACTTCTCAGAACAAACGAGTCGGAAGGCATCCACCATCTAGTGAGCGTCACAAAAAACCAAGCACATTCATCTTGCGAATGTGTGAAGAAAGTGGCTGACCCAGCTACTCTCACTGTTTCAGCCGCCTTTGCTTCGAAATGAGAGCGACAAAACGGCTTTGGTGAAGTTTGATCCACGTGACACCCACACTTTTTTAAGCTCCAGCGGAGCATCCCCCTCGCAAACCGTTGTCCTCGGAAAGAAAAAGGGAGCGTCCTTTGCACTGCGCCATCCGCGCTGGGAACACATCGATGGAACCACAGGGCCCTACGGCAGGGTGGTGAAAACCGACTTGTTGTTTCCTCCTGTAGTAATTACTGGTTGGTCAAAGGTGACAGAGAACGGGAGAGAGAGAGAGAGAGACAGAGACATTTCTCGACGCCGCCGTAGGTGGATGGCGGGGCCGCGTCTTCAGATGACCGTTTTCGGAAGACCAAACAGGTCGTGCTCTCTACTTTGGATGATGGTTTCGAGGCTCCGAGGAGTGTAGGTCTTGGTGAGCATCCCGATGGCCCCAGTGATGGCCCCATATATAGCTGCGTTTGACCCGAACCAATTAGCAGGGAAATTGAAAGGTGTTCGACTTCGCCATAGCCAAAGAATCTCAGTGCAACTCGTGAATTGGCAGCTGAGTGTCGCCCCGAAGACCAGCAATCATAAATTTATTATATATATTTGATTTCATCACATTTCATCCCTATAGTTATGACTGCCATGGTGATGAAGCTTGATTAGAAATCGTATGATGAGAAAAGACCCCCTCTCTTAAAATGATTTGTGTATGATGAAGCTACTAGGGCATACTAGGGCCTCCTGGCCGCAGCCTACTAGGAGCCATCGGACGCTATGTTTAGGGCTCCTGGCATCGCTGCGAACGGAACGATCGGACGCTACGAACGGGGCTGGTGGATTGATGGTTTCATCAGTTTCATTCTACCTAGACCCCATTTGACCTCTGTTTTGATAGGAAAAGACCATGCTTTGGCTCCAAAACAGGGGTCCATCAGGTCCTCGGTATAGACAGCCCTCTTCCACCACCTCTGTCCTGCGCTGCGGAGCGAGCCAGTCGCACGGTCGCACGGTCGCCGCGTGAAGTCGCGCGGCGTCGGTTCCATCGCGGTTCGCCGTCGGGTGGCAGGTGAAGGATTTGGAGCCCTGTAAGAAGTTGATCGATAAAGCGAATGCCATCCTCGGGCCTGGAATCCCTGGCCGCAACGTGAGTTCAGACAGAAGAGGGTTGGGGGAGTGGAACACAGACACTTCTGATGTCTGAAAAATGGACCAGACGGGACCGAATCGATTCAAGGAGAAGGCCCAGCAACTCACGTTGGTTTGGGGGGTTCAAAGCGAGGCCTGGTTTTTGGGTTGGGAGGACGATGGTAAGACGTTTGTTCTGTGGTTTTTGCTTCAGGTCGTGCTGGCTCCAAGAGAAGTAAATGATTTGTTGGACTTTCTAGTCATCAGAAAAGGAGGATTGAGAGGCACATAGAGGCACGTAGCCCGAATCCCTCCCGAATTGTCTGGGATGCTCTGTGGATGGGTGGGCGTAGCTGGGACTTTGTACTTTGTCACCAAGCTGTCAACATAAGGATTCGATGATTTCTGTTTGACATTCTGTACATGCATTTGGGACAGGACAGGCACAACTCAAAACTTGAACGCAGTATTTGGACCAGGGCCTTTGCTCTCCAGGGAGTTTTCTGTGATGGATTTGGATTTGAGCCAACATCGGGCCCACCAGGCGATTTGCCCGCCTGCCGCAGGTATGACATCTTGGATCTTTGCTTGAACGGCCCAGAGGAGAAGCTGGAGGACGAGCGATAGGTAGCGGCAGGATGGTTCTTTACACTGCGAAGAGACCTGCCCAGACGCGACCAGTTCGGCCCCGAATCCTCTCTGGAGGTGTTTGGGGTCGAACCCATCCCTATAAGTTTTGAGGACCAGTCGGGCTGTGAACGGAGCCTTTGCTCGAGAAGAGGCTCAGTCTAGCAATGGCCTTCAACCTAATAATAGTGATGCGAGTGATGACCTCCAACCTAAGAGCGACGCCCTCCAACCTAAGAGCAATGGCCTTTCTATGTTTTTCGCCACACCCACATGTCCGAGATTGATCAAGACAGGTGACACACTTCGAAACTTCGTCTCCTTCGCACTGAACTTCAACTCGTCTGAGGAGACAAAGTTCTGCCAGCCGGCCATGTTTCTGGCGAACGCCTGCGCCGTGCCTTGGCACTGAGCCTGTGGGGCGGCGAGTGCGTTTATAGTCTATAGCGGACCGACCAGCCAGATTTGCTGTTTTTTTGTGTTTGTTTCGCGGAAGGAAAAGCAACGTTGGCTGGCGAAGAAAGGTGATTCTCTCGAATGTTCATTGGAGCCGGAGCAATTGTTGATCCTGCTTTTCGCAGGGGTTTGGACCCGAAAAAACACTTCACCCTTGATGTACGAAATCCTGCTGCGCAGGACTTTGGACATTCAACTTATTTATGTTCTGACTGTGCCCTATGTGTTTGCACAATGCGGTGCAGGATCTCCCAGGGATTTGGCCTTCATTGACGACGGAGTCTTCCTGTTTGAAGCAAACTGTGGAAAGCACCGTGGCCCCCCCTGTCTGACAAGTTTGACCGCGGAGTTGGCCAGGAAAGCACCGGGCTTTAAGGTCATGAACAACCATCCCAACAAGTCATACAAGAAAGCACTACTCTTACGGAGGTAAAGACTAAGTTTTGCTGGGTCTTGGGACTTGTAGGGCATGATTATGAATCGAGGTCTTTTTAGGAGTCTTGGGTGTTATAGTTGTTGCACATCTTACAAAGAAGAAGTTTCATCATACCGTCTTCTTCCAATTCAGTTGCCATACTCCACGGCTTCCTCACCCCACTATCCTGTTTAATACTCTCACCCAGCCCCATGTCTCCAAAGACACCCTCCCGGTCATCTCCACTCTCGACTGACTGGACTGACTTTATCTCCCCTCATCCTCACTGCATCACCGCGTCCTGGCGCCCCCCCCAACGCCGCCCGCGGCTCCGCACACCTGGCGCTCAGTTGGAGAAGCTTCGCATGGACAAACCCGAGGTGGTGGAGCGATGCTCCGCCACCGCAGGGCTCTCCTTGGGCGAGTGCGCGTCGGCGTCGGGTGCCGGATCGGTCTTTGTGTCGAGTGTCGCGGTGTTCGGTGGGAGCTTTACATGATGAGTTGGTGTTCAGTGGGGGCCATGATCCTGAGTTTGAGTTAAGTGACCAAGATGGGCTTTAAGGACCAGCACCATCTGAAGGCTTGACTGCACAGAAAGATTACCTTTATTACTCGAATCTGGGACATATGCTGTCTCTTTTCCTGGTTCCTTAAGCCAATCCAAGATGGGCTATGGTCAGTGGGGCTGCAAACCAGAGAGGGGAAAGCCAGTGCTAGATCCCTCTCATCACAGCATAGCTCCACTTGACACCGCAGCAGAGCTTCACTGGAGGTACAATGCGATTTGTTTCTCTGGGATGTTGAGCTTCGAGGAGTGCCTCAAGGTGGTCCGCGTCCGAGCCGATGCCATGCACGAGGACCGGGACCTCGGCGATGCATGCCATGCGCTGCTGTCGGGGTGGTGATGGAGTTGACTAAGTGGTGATGGGCATGTTGCAAGCCTTCCAATCACGTCACGGCACGGCACGAACTGCACTTCCCAGTCCCTAAGGGCATGCATCAGGACAGGATAGAGGCCAAAATCACATGGTCAACAATCTCTGCACTGTATATATTTTGTTGCATTCAACATTCAACTGCGACGTCTCGTACTCACAACACACGGGATTCGCTGCTTCTCATCCTCGTCGCCCCACCCGTTGTTTCGGCGTTTCGGTGCATCGTGCTCCGGCAGGAATCACAGCGTTCTGCTCAGGCGGCGAACGGATGCGACGTGATGCGACGTTCTCGAGAGTCGGTGTTTCTTTTCGGGTACGGCGGCTTTTGCCAACCATGCAGGGAGCTTGGTAACTCGATCCACGGGAGGAGTCGAACGCACCCCTGGGTGTGGTGCAGAAGAGGGGTGACGGTATGTGGATGTGTCCAAGGTGACCGTGACACTGGTGAACTCCACGTCAATTTGTGCGTTCACCCGTGATTTTCACGTTTCGGACTGCGCTCAAGTTGCTGCACCTTGAAGCCACGTATAAATGCAACCGCAACCGTCCATGTTCGTCCCAAACAATAGGAACGCTGCAAGAAGGATGGGTTTCTCATAGAACCTGCAATTCTGAGGTCCAAGTAAATGAATGGTTTGATCTCTGGTTTTGCCTGTATTTGGATTGAAATGCTTGGTATGGCGATTCTTTCATCAATGACTCCAGTCCTGCTCAGCTGTTTGTTGCTTCTTGCCTTCACCGGTCCACCACTGGGGCCACGGGGCCCGTCACCCGCCCGAGGCGATGATCTCGGTGGCCGGGTTAGACCACACCGTGCCGTGGCCAGTGGAACCAGACGGGTCGGACGGAGAGCCGCGCCGCGCGCTGCGCAGAGCTCGGGTCGCTCGTCGACCTGCAGAGCTCAGCTGAAAAGCATGGCCAGAGCTCGGTAGAAGTGGCACCGGAAGAGCGACGGTGGGTTCTTCCCATGGTGTGAGGTCTCTAGAGATGGTACCAGCGACCCAGTGTGGGCTCCCCTGGTGCCATGACCCATGGCCAAACCTGTCCACCGGCCGCTGTTCCGGGTCGGTCGGTCTACTGGTGCCATCGGGTGACCCAGAGGCGTATCACAGACTCAGTCAGACCATGCAGCGGTCCAAGCCTCCAAGCAATCGGTTTTACTTCATGCGTCCTTGGGGGATAAGAAATTCGTTCATACAAACTGAGGGTTCGAGAGTGACTCCAAAGATGAGAATGTGAATCTCCTTTGTAACACCACGAGAAAACATATTTGTTAATCATTGGTGAAGCACGATCTCCTTGTTCTTTGCATCAGCCAGCAAGAAAGGAAAACCACCCTTATGAACAATCATCATAGATTCCACAGAAATTGTAGACACATCATGTTGTTGTTGTTGTTGTTGTTGTTGTTGTTGTTGTTGTTGTTGTTGTTTCTATTGTTAAATAACAGCGTGTGTTCTTATGCTGTCATGGTGCAAGCAAAACCTGGACATGTCAGTGCTGACCCATGGGTGAGAGCTGGGGTTTGGGCTGTGATACGGGGGTTTGGCTGTGGACAAAGAGTCAGTTGGGTTATCCTCTCACCTCGTCGTCCAGCAAGGCACACCCTTCTGGTCATGAAGATAGACGTGGACCTCCTCTTTTGGAGAGAGAAGAACATGGTCTTGCGAAGGGTTTAGTTTGCATGGCCAGGAGATGCCAGGGTCATTCTGGTGTTTGATTATGTATGCTCAGTTGTATGCTCCTAATAACGACACTCAACTGGAATTCTACTGTATGGGGGGATGGTATCATGACATTCGGGAGATGCTGGGAAGGATTATGAAGGATTGGTCACCTCACAAACACCCTTCTTCTTGGAGGACAGCGTCACCCAGCTGAATCGAGCTAGTCCAGTGAACGCTGGTGAGCGGTTGACGAACACCGTGGACCAAACGGAACGCCGGTTTCCTTCTTGCAATAACCCAGACACGACCGGTGAGACTGCCTGCCGATCTGGCCAGGGGTGGTGGTTTTGGCGGTCAATGTACGGCATATGTGGCAGTCCCATGGAGTGTTTGGGTAGTATGGAGATGGGTCGTGACCCACCATGTTTGCCCGACCAGTCCACCATGTAGCGAGTTTGACCGACGCTAGGCAGGTCAACCGAAAGGTCAGGTGTTCACTCACCGCCATATTGGGAACTGGGAGTCACCGTGTGAGGTCCAGGGCCTAGGTCACTGGGTTAGCCACTCCAGAATCACAGACCTTCCCAGGAATGCCGCGGTTCCTTACTGCAAACCCTGAGCATCCACGAGTATCCCTCAGTCATGGGAATACCCAAAGGAAGGCTCCTTCGTGTCGTTGCTGGGTGGTGTGAGAATCGAACCGAGACTTGTAGACATAGATGAGGATGCATAGTTGTGGCATGTTGGGGCCTTCTCTCCACAGAATTATTTCAAAATCTTAGCAGAACTTGATCAACATGTTGGACTATCGCCCCGTCTATTCTAAGCCATCGTATCATCCACTGACCAAACTGACATGGGAAGCCTTGGCTCATCAAGGTCTTGGAGGCGCTTTGTGAGAAAGCAGCCCGACAAGCGGGACATTTAGGAGACCGTGAGGCTGTGTGCAAGGCCGGCACTTGGAACGGCTTGTCCGCTCCACCGTCTGTTTCGGGAGGTGAGATGAGGTGAGTCCTAGTCAGGCTACGCGTGAGGTGCGTGTCCGGGACAAGGGGTTTCATCCCATGGGGTCACCAATCCGCCGGGCCACGAAGAGGTGATGAGTCCGGGAATGGCTCAGAAAACTGGACTCCGGCCCCCCCAAAGGGGGCGAAGCAGATTTGTAGAGGAGGTGAACCGGAGTGAAGAAGGACTCCGAATGTGAATGTGTTTGCCATGAATGGCTTGACTCATTATGGATTTGAATGGTCTGAAAGCAAAGCTAGCTTGAAGCCAAGCTGCTTTGACTACAGTGCTTGTTGGAGTAGATTGCGAGACCCGGATGTTACTGGCAACTTCTGTTGAGAGCAAAGAGTCAGACATACGTGAACAGGCGGAGCAGGTGACAAAGATTTCCTTGGCCATGAATCACTATGGCATTATGGGAAGTTAAGTTGCATGTGATTGGTGACAGTGAAGCAACAATGAAAAGCCTTCTCTTTCATCAAGACAAGGACCTGGTTTTGAGACCGTTTTGACGCACAGCACAGGCTGAAGGCGTTCTACTGGACATTATGAGGCGACAAGCAACACTGAGGTCCGCAGAAGTGGTCGATTCCTTTTCAGTCTTCCTGGAGATCAGGCATTGTGGGGTTGGACCTACATGCATGGCGCGTTGGTGGTTAACTGTTCAGCACTCATCAAGCAGCACAGACGATGGCCAGTGGAAGACGCCATGCTGGGAAGGTTGTTTCTTCTAGTGAGTATGTGTTTGATTTTGAACGGACGAATTTGCGTGAGACTTGGCGCCCAGTTGTCCTCTTCATGTTGAAGAAGCGCTACAGGAATCTCTTTGACCTAGGGTCCTAGGGACCTAGGAATCTCATCTCTCAGTCGTTTTTCATGTCAAACGACCTCGTCTACTTCTGATGAGGCCTATGTTGCCTACTGATGAGTGACCAGGGACCCCTAAGTGGAGATGGAGCATGATGAAGCAGATGAATGGTGATCAAGGAGGCAAACCAGAGGAGGTCAACAGAATCTGATGGACAGAATGCCTTCCAGGATAGAGATGTGTTTCTGCAGAGAATGTACACTCCCTGGAACTAACATGTTTACGTGGAAAACCACCTGTTTGTAGGATTTCATGGTCTTCCTTTCGGGGCCATTCTCCACGTAACCATGTTAGTTCCAGGGTGTGTTTGCTTCATGCCATGCGTGTGACGGTCAACGCACCCGAACACCTGACCGGGGCGATACCCGACCCCGGGTCAGAGTCCACCCTCGAACTGTTCGGGGTGTCCACCCTACTCGTAACACGCTTGACCTGCTGAAAGTGCGGATGTTAGGGGAACATGTTGGTTCCCGGTACCTGACAAACGGTTTCTTTGGTACGCATGAATTCCTTTCAGTAAGATGGTGTTGGTGACAAGCTAGAGCCTACAATGATCAGTTGTATAATAGGAGGGATTCGTAAAACGTTCAACCGATCTAAGAATGACTGGCTGTCATTATTCCTGCCCCCATATAGTACTTTTCGTCAAGGGTCCTTGGATGTTGTGAGGGTGGGTAGTTTTGGCCCTTGGATGCTACGACGAGGCCCCAAATGTATCTGGGAAAATTCTGGGAAATTGGATTTCACTCCTAAACCACGGCTGGACTTCACAGCCCAAGCAGCCCAAGCATCTCTTTGGAGAGGAATTCTGTCTTCGCATTGCATGTATACAAATCGTTACTCGATCCGACTCCGCACGATCGCGGTCTTGGCTCGGCACGACATTGTACATGGTACATGGTCTCTTCCCTGCGAACGGCGGCATCACGGCGGCATCACGACCTCTGTTTCTGAGCAAAAACAATGAAAGACGTCGAAGCCGAATGCGTAGGTGTAAAACCTCTGCTTTGTCGTCGAGATCTTCGTATATGAACCTCGTATGAACTGTTGATTTCCACCCGGAGACTGCGCATGCCCTGAATTTAGAATGATGTGTATAGCGGGCACGGATGAGACAACTTCCGCGAACTCGCAAAGGCAAAGGCAAATGAACTGTATTTGATGATCGTTATAACTGGCATCCAACCGATATTGTGGCAGGTGTGTATGTTTGTGGCAGGTCCAACCGATATTTCAAGGAGCTCCAACTGTCTTGGATCCTTCCTGGCAGGTGGCGAACCACTTGTTTCCCAAAGGCTACACTTGCTCGGGCGACTTGCCCGCCGTGGAGATCCTCAAAGGCGTCACTGACGGCGGCGATGGGGAAAACGGCGGGAGTGACTGCACCCGCGGAGGCTTTTTGGGGGGTACAAGTACCTGTGTTAAGTCGTCTGGATTTGTGGAAAGTCGTCTGGATGCTGCGTTTACAATGGGTGACTGACTACCCGACGCTAGTACCCTCCTAAGAACCAACTCCAATAAGTGGACAACTTGGTTTGAACAGCAGCTTCAATCACATAGGCGGCCTTGCCTCTATGAAGTTCGGGCGGGCGGAGGCCGGCCACTGAAATAGTTGTCTCAGTGTGAATGATTGGCCCACTTGGATCATGAAAAACCGCTGAGTGGTTAGATGATATGGCCGCTCTTGGTTGGGAGGTGACATCTCACCAACTCTGCTGAGTGGTTAGATGATGGATGTGGCATCACTCCGGGGATGGACGTGGCATGTCGACTGACTCTACAAGACTGACGTGAACACCAGGTGTCTACTATCTCTAAGAATCCACGGGATTGGTATGGGTTTTTGGCCCTCGCAAACATGCCAGCGTTCCATCCCGTCCAGCTGCGGTGCTCACAGCCGAGGATGATCGTTCAGGCCCAGGCGCCGTGCACACAGGCGCAGCCGTTGATCGCTCAGTCCGCAGTTCAGGCCCAGGACTCCCAGGACCTGCGCAGGCAGCTGATGGACTTGACCAACCAACAGGCTTCGATGTTGGAGAAGCAGGAGCTGTTGGAGGCTACTAAGTGTCGAAGCGCATATCTTGGAGAAGCAGGACCAGGAAAAGAACTTGGCAGTTGTGATTGGCAAGCTCGCCCGCGTCTTGGAAAACTCGCCCGCCTTCAGC